ACTACTTACATACTATCATCTATTCCTATAAACATACATGAGATGAGAGTTCATTTGTATTAAAAATAAGAACTGAATAAGCAATATTCTAAGTTTTGCCATTAGGAATACCATTACTTTCATGATAAGAGAATATAGAAATATGTTCAACTATATTCTTACATTTTTGAATAATCATAATTCTTCTCCGTTTTAGTTATTTCTAGGTTTTGAATTAGGCTTATCTACTACAGTAATGACATCAAATAAAACATCAATAAATAATAAATTACTTGGATCAATTTGTACTTATATTTATCGAAAAATTATGGTTGACATTATTAGTGAACGGACTCGAACTACAGACTTGGTAAGTTGATAAGTATTTGTTAATTACATTTCTATACTCTAACAATTTTCTGTAATTTATCTGATTCTATCTTCTTATATTATAGAAGATCATGAATATTGACCTAAGGATAAGTGATTTGAGTCGTCAAGGGCATAGATAATCTTCAGATCATGGAATATTGTCATGAACCTTTAAACTTAGACGACTTGCATAATAATAGTAAAAGCATATCAAGGAGTTGTGTTGAAGAAGCTAAATAGTAAAACGATCTTAATAGGCGAAATCTGTATATATTTCGACTTGGTATAGTTTATTTGGATCGTCCCATTGATGTGTAAGACTACAATTGATCAGTCTCTTAATGGCATATATGCGTACTGTGTGTATTGACTCGATATTACTTTAAGTCACAAGCATAATAAAAAAGGATGGCGGCTAACAGTGGAATCCAGGATGAACGTTTCGTCCTGAATTGGACTCGTCAGCTGGATAACTTGATGGCATTTGAAGCGACTGGTACTGGTTTGGAGTCCTGGAATGAACATGAACTCTGACATGCAGATACATCCAGCTGATGAGTCCCATTATTTATTTCAAAAAGTTGATCAAGGTCATTATGAATACAAATGCCCTCAAATGCCCTGGTACGGCCGAGAGTGGGGAGAGTCAACTCTCCCACTCGAAGTGCTCTCACATGGCCACGTGCATACAACCACTGATAGGGAAATCTTAATCACTGCCTTCTCGCGACACCGGTGTTGTTTACGGAATCGAGAGGACGAAAAGCGAATGTTCGGCGCCTCAACCGGGTTTGTGGATATGTAGGATCCATTGAGAGTTGAAAAACCAAGATTCCAAACCAATGGTGCACCAAAATTGCCATACTAGGTTAGCATGATATAATGAAATCAAAGTAATGCAATAGCAATGAAAAAAAGAAAGCTTAAACCGTAGGGATAGGTTTAGATAAGTCGAAATGTGAAGGGATATATGAAGGGATACTGGTATTGAAAACAAAGAGGAAGACAGAATAAATCCATCTATCACCCAAAGTCTCCAACCACGTAGTTTGCTCAGATCAACAGTCAATGACTTGATTTGCCGATAGCCCGTAAGGTTGGATTCGACCAGTAGTGTCTAAATAAAAAGCCTCCACAAGGTTCATGTACTTTGTTGGTACATTTTTTCGACGAAACACGTTGCACAGGATCTCTTGGTTAGCACAGTGGAATGGTGTCCTATGGTCAAGAGATACAACTAAATTAGCGCATCGATAATTATCCTAGTCCTAAAACGTTATTGGAGGGAAGTGGTAGATATTTGGTCTACATATTCAAGTCCAAGAATCAAACTAGCCTGATTTTCACGGGTTTGTGGTTCATGAGCACCATATAAGCGTCAAAACTCTTAGTATATTATTCACACTAACCTACCAGTGGCTGTCGCAAAAAAGTATTTATACTTTCTTTTGGACTGGGACTATCAGGACCAGTCATATGAGATTATGCCCAGTTCCAATACTCTACCTAGTATCCTAGTCAAATTAACCGCCAAAACTAGACCACCAGCCTCGAAAATCAAAGGCATTAATCCATTAAAGCCTGGTCCAGTCCCTAGGTTTAGATTATCTATAACCTTTCTAACTTCATTAAGAGTTGGGAAACCTGTGTCAAATTAGCAATAAGGTTGATTGAAGATAAAGAGTTACGGAAGGGTAGTTGGACGTCAATTGAGTTGTCCCCTAAAGTACTCTGCTCATATATCTAACCTATGTAAGAAAAAGGACAACAGATCTATCCTTTTCCGAGAGAACACTACTAAAACCTCTCTATTTAATACCAGTCACTTTCTTCAGTAGGTAGAGTTCTCTAGTATTATTTATCATCGTTACTTCTCTCTTTTTTCTTTGACTACCATCACTAACGATAATTGTGCAAACCATTTGATAGTTTACTTTCGAGCTGTCGCTATCGTCAGGCACCAGCCAGTCACCTTCACACTTCTCTACCTACGAGGCAACTTCTTCAGGTACACTGCCTTAGTGTACCCTCATTTGATAAATTAGTAAGTGAATTCCTCAGGTCACCTTCGAGTAGACATTGTGCATCTTAATGATCTTCGTTGGGTGAGAAGGCAGGAATCCGAACCTCTTTTCCATCCACTTGCTTCACTAAAGCAGTTAAGTGGTTACGTTTTAAAGCATTTTTCTCACTCATTAAACTAAATGATAAACGTTGTTTTGATCAGTTATTAGTTTTACATTTTAGTTGGGTACTTAATCGATACTCATTTCTCGTGTTTCTAGCCAATACCAGGTGAATTACAAAATATGATTTTTAATGATACCGAAATGAAACAAATCTACGGTATGATTGGAAGAAGATACTTGGCAAACTTTATCGTAAGTTTAAATCTATGCTATGTGCATATGATCAACGTAAAGAGATAGCAACGGTTTTAGAGATAGTTTGATTTCAAGTTATTTTTTTGTCAAATGTTGATGAGTTTTGATTGAGATCATGAGTGGATCAATGCTAGACCACCACTGAAAACCTGGGAAAACTAGGCAGCCGTTTCGTTCTAGTATAGGACCCATCGGAAGTGCGCATCCATAATCCTGTACACGAGATTCAAAATCAGTATCCTTGGTCTCGCACGTGAAGGCTTAACCTCTAGACCACTGAACCGACATCCAACGGTGTTATTATCTAACTTCAACCAGGCCATGGTATTGCGCGACCGTTGTTTTTAGTGAGTAACTGCCTCCCAGCAGACACGGTCGAACTCCACAGATCACGGCTTCCCTAAACTGATAAAATATTGATGAAACAAACACCTGATACTCTAGACAATTTGTCAAGCCCTCATGGATTATCCTAGCTTCAGGAAAGACCGATTTATTCATTCTTTTCATGTCACATTCTGACTTTGTTGGTCATTTCTTTATTGACCCCGACCGTTTTTATATGAGCATACGTTTGTGCCGCTTCGCTTAGCTTCTTATTCTGAATATCTGCTTGGATAAACGTGAACTTGAAATAAATTCATCCAACAAACCGTATTAAGCTTCTTATTATTGCCGTTACACAAACGGGGTCAGCCTAGGCAATATACGGAGTAAAATGGAAGATTTATGTCTACAGAATATTCATATCACAAAATCGAAAATCACAGAACCACAAATTGACATTATGATGGGATATTCATTCGCCGATAATAACTTTTTCACTCTCAACAGACGTTTTGAACACTCATCCTAAAGCTGATCACTAGTGAGACAAGGCAAGACTTTAATTTATGGACGAACCAATCAGATATAAGATAATAGGTCTTGGATTTTTGTGCGAAATTCATCCATCCATTTGGTTAAATAGAGTTTTAGCATTATAGCTGATGTCAGTTCGTGATGAAACACCTTAGTTGTAATTCTTAACTCTAACTATCAAATGAAAATCATAATCTTAATTCTTCCCATTGGCTTTTAAACCCTCATTTAGTTCCCGTTAGCAGGTGAATATTCTCCAGGTTATATTTTAGCGTCCCTTTCAAAAGTCATTCATAAATTATAGTCTCACGGATAAGACTAACGAATTATAAGAAAATATTTGGTAATGTATGGATATGTTTAATTCAAAGAATCGAGTCAGGATTAGAATATCAGACAATAGTGTAAATCAAATCATCCATCCAATAAGAAGTCGACAATGTTACCTTCCATTTCCACCATACTAATGGTCTTTTAAACATTCTACATAAGTTTATAAATAATCATTTGAGTTAAACTAATCATTTTAATTCTCCTCATGAATTTTCTTTTTCTATAATTCAGGCAAAATGTAAACGTTGGCTTCAGGATTATGGTAGAAGAATATTGACCTTGTAAACCATACAGCAACGTATTATAACTCATTATTACATAATGTGAAAACAAACTATTCTAATAAGCTGGATAGCAAACCCTAATATATTTTGACTAAAAATGTACAAGTCATTGTAGTTGACTTCAAGTTACATTTTCTATGTAGACTTAGTCCTTAAAGAATGTCAAGTCTCGATCAGCCGGTTGCCAGTTCAAACTCTACTCTATCTAGTATGATTTAGGCATCTCTGTAGTGATAATACCAACCAAGTTATATGTAAACTCTATGATCGAATAAGTTACTTAGTTATAGGCAACAAAGAACCCAGTACATACGTATGTTGGTTCATGATGTTATATCACACCGAGAAGAATAACCAAGACAACTACCAGGGAAGTAGAAGTTATTGTACTAATAGTGGCAGTAAAAGAGATTCCGAATAAATAAATCATAAAGCAATTTTAAAATCCAAGATTTAAGGCTCAGTTCAACAGTTAATGACTTTACGGACCGTTAACTTATTTCGATTTAGTTATTGGCAGCTTTTATTTTAAACGTTCTTTTAAAAACCGACCACATAGAGCATCGAAGTATGTTGTAGTTAGACATATGTAACAAATGTTCCAACCACCTCGATCAATAAAGATTCACTGCATCATCAACTCACTTATCATCTTAAAGTCAACATAGATCCATCTGAATGTCCCACAATATCTACCCTATCATCTAAAACTTCCAACCTGTCCATGTCTTCTAATTTAGACGAACGTGTTTCCCGATTATAGAGTAGTTAAAAAGTAATATAATATATGTGATATATGTAGAGATATGTATTTATAGAAGGGATAATATACTGTTCAAGGATAAAATAATAAAAGCTGAAAGTATAAAGAGGCAATATGATTACTAATTACAAGATAGTAGTTTATCGTTTATAAAAGAAAAAGGGAAAAAACAGTTAAAGAGGAGAAATAATATGCATTACTCTTCTATGTGTTACCTATAACAATCCGACTGAAATCGGTTATAATGTTATCATCTTGCTTCATTCAACATTTCTTTCAATTCAACATATAAACGTTGTAAATGCAAATTGAGTGCAAATAAACTTAACAATTCTTTCGCTAATACAAGCCTCGATATACCCTATAGTTAGAAATGAAAGAATTTAAAAAAAAAGGATATAAAGATAAAGTGGTAATATAAATAAGATGTTGAGTCGATCAATGTAAGACTGTCATTGAGAATCTGGAAACATGGAATAGTCGTTTCGTCCCAGTATGGAACTCTCATCAGCGATGTGCGTGCTTGGTTGTGGATGTGTACTAGTACAAAACGACTATTCAGTGCTTCTAAGTTTTCACTGGTGGTCTCACATTGATTGATTCACAGTCTCACGTATTTATTGTTGTAAGTTGAATGTTTTAAATACATTGAACTATCGCTTCATACATTAACTTGAAGTAAATCACATTGCTTGTTATTCTCTATTCCGATGTACAATTCATTATATTTAATCTTTACAAACATATAAACTGGATTGTTAATTTACAGTTTACAAGTGTAATATGATAAACGAACCATTGGCTATTACATGGATTCGTCACTGAACCATACATTTCTTTAATATAAAGGCTAGTGATGTTGGAGCTTGAGTGCTTAAACCAACATAAGTGAAGGAGAGTATGGATTTGTAATTCAGTAGTTGAAAATCGAGTATTTGAATCAATGAACCACTGTTTAACGAATCGTCAAAACAAAAGTGGAATTATTTACACTTACTAGATAAGTTAAGAGATAGTTAAGTTTTAAGAGAAATAATAATCATGCGCTTAGCAATATATAAGATGTAATGCATCCCTGTGAACTATATATCCTTGTTGCTGGGAATTGAGAGTTAGGTTTTCTTCAAGCTGGGACTCACTAACCGGATTTCTTTAGGTGTAAATACATTTATTGTGGCTGGGACCTGGTAAGTAGTGAACTCTACTAACTAACTAACGGGAATGCAGTAGTTACATATAATCAAATAAAAGATATTAGATAACCTGGAAAAACTATATAATACAGAAATGTGATGTCACTAGCTCACTGTGAAGACTATCAAGTACATGAAAGAAACTCAACGTCTTGTACAGACTGCCAGTCTCAAAAGTAGCCTGAATTATATTGTTGACTGTGGTACTAAATGATACGAGTTCGGATGAGGACCAGTTCTCTAGAAGAAATATCAACATAATAAGTAAAGACGTCAGAAAACCGTAGAATACTCACCTTTACTTCAGACTGCCAAGTAGAATGTAGTTTGGTATTCGCCAGTACAGGACCAATGAGATCTTGAATTATTTGACGAACACGTTCTTCTTCATCTACAATTTACGCGAAAACATATGATAAGTATTTCTACTCAGATTGATCATCTACAGACAAATTATGCATTCAATCACAACTATATTTTTGTGATAGAGTCACCAATCTTATGAAAAATCGATACCCAGTCGATTCAAAAAAGTCTACTTCCAACTTTGAATCTGTTCAATCATAGTGGAAAAATTGACAATCCGGTTGATCATGACAAATGACAACATCTACAGATTACTATCTATCTATGATGATGGTACTGGCTATCAGAACTCACGTAACATCATAAAAAAGTGAATAATGTTGAATGATCAATAAGAGAATATCGATGTTGTGAACGTCAGTTACAATTAGTGTTTAAGTAGATCAGAATTATGGTATCATCACAACGGTCTAAGGTTTATTGAGATTAATGATGAAGTATGTTGTTTTGTTTATGTTTTAAAAAACACGGCTCTCATCTTGAAACAGGCATAAATAATGAGGCGATTATAGTTAGACACACAAGGACTGACTGAGAGTCGTGATCAGATAAATAAATGTACCGTTATCTATCACAGTAATTGATTCTGGGAACTGTTAATCAGTCACCGAACGAAAAGAATAATGGGAATGGTTGAGGTCAAATGAATAGATGAACTAATTTACTGTGTCTGAAGCATGGAACAAGATAATGGTTTGAGGTAGTAACATACCATGACCAACTTGATAAGATGTTGACGCTACGGCTTCAGTAAGGTATGACATTCTATAGACTGAAATTTTCAATCTCAAAAAAGGAACCGGGAGATACCACGTTGATAGAACAAAACGATACATACTAAAAGAGTGATTTCATCAAGAACGTATGTTCTACATAAGTATTATATGCATTCAAAAAACAAGTGATAACTCACTATCTTCAATGAGTTGACGGAACCAACGAGTTAGCCAATAGCGATATTCATTGGAAGATCCAAATGATAGCGCTAATTGAGTCTGAGATTCGAGGAAATTTTGATTTGAAACTTTTCGACAAGAAGCCGAACTAATTCAAAATGTTAATAAATAGAATGAAAACAAAAAAAGCAACATCATTCATTGTTTAAAGTAACGAAAAAAGTTAAAGTATATCATAGTTATTTGGAATTTGAAATATTCCCATATTGTAAATTTAGAACAACATAGATATAAGTGGACAATATAGTTTTGGATTAGATCCGCATCAGGCTTTACTCTAATATACAGTAATGTATTTATATGCATATATGAAATTATTAAATCAATCAAGGTAGTTTATGAGTCAATGATAACAATGAAAACGATTACATAATAGTAAATGTACTGTGAAAACTCCACTTACCAAACAGTACTGAGATGCTTTACATATGCTTAGAAAAGACAATCTCTAATCATAAGCAAGCTGGACAAAGGAGGAGGGTTAGTTCTTATGAACAAACCCGATTATATGAACAAAATGAACTCGATTTTGAATGATTCGACTGAATTTCAGAAACTCAACGACGTGGAGGATATAAATATGAAGGCAGGAAAATTGCTGACTAACTCACTAAAGGAATTAAAAAATAAAGGTATACTTACTCCTGACATACACGACTCACTCAAACCCACTAGATCGAACGCACTACGACTATATGGTTTACTTAAAGTTCACAAGACAGGTCTTCCTCTTCGCCCAGTTTTAGATATGTATAATTCGCCTAGTCATAAAACTGAGAAGTGGTTAGTTCGAATTCTAAATCCCTTACACAAACTAGTCGTCGACAGAAGCGTGAAAGACGTCTTCGGTTTCATTTCTAAAGTGGAACATATGAACTTAAATGGGAAACGGATGATATCTTAATATGTTGCTTCCCTGTTCACCAATGTACCGTTAACGGAAACTATTGATTTTGTGTGTCGAAAACTACAGGAAAAACAAATCAATATTGGAATTCTTGAGGCTAGTCTTAAATAATTATTTTTGAAATGCACAATGAATGTCCATTTTGTCTTTAATAACACATATTATAGACAAATTGATGGTATAGCGGTGGGTTCGCCTCTAGGTCCCATCCTTGAGAAACTAGAAAACGGACCTCTCAAAGAGGATATCAATAAGCTTGATTTCTACTGTCGTTACGTTGATGACACTTTCATTCTTGCCGATAAGAACATCAGATAAAAGAACAACTACTAGAACTATTTAATAGCATTCTGCAATTAAATTTACATGTGAAGAGGAAATAGATAATAAACCGCATTTCCTTGACGTTTTGTTAAATAGAAAAGAAAATGGTTCTATCAGCACAGGTGTGTATAAAAAAAGTTCTTCATCAAGCCAATACACACATTCCTTAAGCATTGTACAACTTCATTATAAGAGAAACTTAGTCAAATGTCTGGCAAATAGAGCTATTAAGATATGCTCAGTTGACACAATTCATAATATGTTGATTGAAATGGGATATCCACAGGGTTCGCGGAAGAAACACTTGAGTGTAACAAGCAAGAAAATAGCGACACTAACGGCTAATAAGAAACCTCTTTTTTGAAACTGCAATTCAATGGTAAGGTATCTAGTGATGTATTGCGTGATAGACTGACTAGAGCAGTAAAGAGAACGTTTAATGCTGCCAACCTCTGTCTATCGTATTCGACCCGATCTATGATGATTCCCCAACTGAAGGATAAGTTACCTGGTTATGCCACTTCTATGTGTATTTACGAATTCAGCTGGTTCTGTGGAGAAAGCTATGTTGGGCGTTCTACTAAACAACTGAACCAGAGTTAGTGAACACCTCCCTACGTGGTTAGGAAAAGCTAACGTCAAGACAATACGCAGCTCGGTTCTATCACACTTGATCGATAGCGGTCAAATAGGGGACAGAAACAAGTTATTTATCGTATTCCCATTAGTTTTCCTTATGGTTTTCGATCTCGTCTCTTACACATAGAAGAAGCTATAGGAATTCGAGTCAACAATTCAAGTCTTTGTGTTCGGAAGAAATCTGTAACACCATTATCTCTCCCTTGGCCGTAATAAATGAATTGATTTATTATTTTTCAAACTTTCTTTTCGTTTATTATTTTTTTCTTCACCCCCTCCAACCATTTTATTTTCATTTCAGTTATCTGAACACTTCTTATCATTGACCTATTTCCGATTATGTAACATTGATTTGAGCCTTTATTATTCTTATCAAAACTAGTACACTTGTCATTACACTATCACTTTGTACTATTCACTTATTTGTGTAATCTATCCCATTGTTATCATTATTGACTCATAAACTACCTTGATTGGTTTAATAATTTCATATATGCATATAAATACATTACTGTATATTAGAGTAAAGCCTGATGAGGATCTAATAGAAAACAATATTGTTCACTTACATATGTTGTTCTAAATTTATTGGGAATTGTTAAATCAGAAAAAGTTGTCATAACTATTATTATTATCATCAGCACAGGGTGGTGGAGATTATTAAGTTTCTGATTAAGATCGTGAACCGATTGATGTTAGACCAACGTTGAAAATCTAGAAGCACCGGACGGCCAACTCGTCCTATTGTGGAACTCCTCAGCAGTGCGCATCCACGACCCCTCTCGTGGTATTCGAGCCCAGGGCCTTCAGTCTCGCAAGCGAACGCTTTACATCTACAAAACTGAGGCGGCCGGCATCCAACGGTGTTAATGTCTAACCTCAACCAACCCACAAAATTGCCTCAGATACCTATCTCTACCTGATATGGATTAGTTCCACTGTTCACGGCTTCTCACTAGAACTCCGAAAATCTTCTCACGAAGATAGTCATTGGTGAGCACATGGTAATTATCAGTATAGGGTTGTGGAAATTCGGTTCACGACCTCAATCAAATACTATCATTATTGATTTATTTGCGATGTGAAGTAAAATCTGTCGGTCATAAGCAACATATAATCTCTGATATAAGCGTGTGTACTGATCTTATTTACCATAATCTATCAGCGAACCAAGATAAAATCAACAAGATGCATAGTAACGGAGTCAAATTAATGATATAAATAGTTTTGAAGAGGATTAAACATAAAAATTATGTGATTTATAGATAAGGGACAAAAGGTATAGTATACAGTTGAAAATCAGTGACAACAGGTCTTAAACTATTTATCATGACTATATAAAAGGTTTCAAACGAGAAGTCCTAATCTTTCAATATGGCACAGTTAAACAGTGAATAACTTGACAGTTCAGTCACCATTAGCTGTCATCCAATCTACATATATCTACACCAGTCATAGAATGTAATTAATGTAGTGAAAAGATTTATTCTTTATTCCTTGAGCTTAGGTAGTTAGCAGCTGGTAATTAAAAAAAACCTATTACTGTAGGTCAGAAGTTTAAAAATGAATACCAAAGACTAAACACTCAAATTACGTCCGATGTTACACTGATGTAACTTAGAAATTAGAACATTGAAGTTCATTGATTGAAAGTGGGTTCCTTTAATGACTAAATCGGTTTTCAGCAGTTACTTGAGTGTATACGACCACTTCTCACATTAACATTAAAATGATCCATGAAATTCGTCTTCAAAATAAAGCCATTATACAAGTAACTATCAAGACGATAAAGTTTAAATGGATTGATATGAACAACACCTTAAAAAATAAACTGTGATACTACTAAAGAGACACAGAAAACTAATGAATACATACATGACGTTTGAATTTGAACTAGTGAAAGAATTTGACTTTTGTACATTAGCGGTCAATTTATTAAGTTGTTGACAGGCAGATAATGGACCAGGAGGACAACCACGAGCAGAATTCATAGCGAATTGACAACGTACAACATCAGATGCATCAAATAATTCAATCCTATAAGTTTATTCCAGAAAAAAAACGTAATAATAAATTAAAGAAAACTTATATCAAAGTTATTTCAACTGGAGCCATGGTTTAGCTGTTAAGGAAATCGGATTTCAACCAGTAGATCTAGGACTTCGAAACCTCTCTTGGTAATAATTCATCAGTAATAATAGTCTTCACAAAAACACTGTAGCCTACTAGATGAGTAAACAAACTGGTGAACGCTAGATAAGGTACATATACGAACCGACAGTATTCAGATTAATGACACGAAATCTTTACAAATTGATATATGAAAATCTACAACTAATGGAGTTTTAGATCTTTAAGTAATTCTATCGATAAAAAGTCACTACTAGAAACATCTCAGTACTACAGGATATCATCAATCATAGCCCAAATAGCTCAGCGGTAACGTCTCAGGTTGTGAAGCCTAGTGACATGGAGTAGAATCCACCAGGGAGCGTCAATTCCATCAAGATAACAGGCACACCTTGTTAACAAGCGCCAAGTAGTACGAAACCTAAGTTCATGGTTTCCTGTCAACTACCTTTGATCACCAACTTACATTCAAACATAGTACACGTGATTTCGACTTAGACTAATGAGAAGAAAATTCGATCAGCAGAAAGAGGGACTTGACATACATGACATTGGTCACCACTCAGTGATTAATCAACTGTAACTACTACAAACCACATAAACATAAAATCGTGCCATACATGAAAAACACCTTGAAAAGTATCACCAGAATTTTGAAACCTTTCGTAATCAATGTTACTCATGAACGAAAAAATTAATTTTATTCCATTTTATGCAAACTAATGGGCTCAACATCAAAGGCAGACAAACTCGACTTTATCGATAAAATAAATGATACTAACTGTGATCAAATGCAATTATCGGACAAAGTGGATATCCTACCCATCGATAAACCGATGAACATAGATTAGTAGTTAAAAGAAACAATGTGTTTTCATTCATATGAATATATGTAAACAACTACGAACAGTAGTGGAACTGGGAAAACTTTTTAATTACGGATCGAGCGAACTCTAAAAAATGTTAAACTATCTCTGAAAGACAGATGCTGAATTCAATTTGCAACCAATGGATAATTTGACAAAGATCTAATCTACCAACGTATATCGAGAAAGTCAATCAATTACGCAGTCAGACAAAATAATCAACTGGATTACAAAGTTATCAAAACCAACTTACCCAATACTTATGGAAAGGCTTTTAATGGCATAGTTCTATACAAATAGACATTGACGTTATTGTTTATAACAGCATTGAATGCATCATAATGAAATCATAGAATCTATGAAAACTGACAACCAAGGGAGCTAATTTATAAAAGATGACTTATATTACGTACTGAAATACAACAAGAAATCAGGTGTGGTAGCAGACTGACGACAGTTACGGCATTTTTAAGGCTAAGGTTATCTATAATGTTGATTTAGTGAGTGTGTTGCTTATTGCAGTGGAATTTTCACTGGAGATTTCATTTTGGGTTATAAATTGCACCATACTTGTTTCTCATTAGATACACTGGTATGATGATCATTGCAGATCGTTGCGGATATCATACACTTCATTATAGACCGAAAGTGTTGGATACAACACATTTATTAAACATGGAATATGTTGTGGATAACCTCAATCATTTTCTAAATTTAAATAAAATTGATTAACCGATACGTCTTTCACTTGTTTTTATTTATTTATTTATTTTAACACATAGATATTGGTACAAGGAGGCACCAAATACATATGCGCCACACAAATCTCATTCTATATATGTGACGGCTGTGATACTGCCCGGGTGTCCAAACCGAAGCAGATGGTTTTCTTAGGGGGCCACTCCCCGAGCCTTCGACCTGAAGGTCTGATCCACAAGGCAGTGGAGCATCGTAAGAAGATGTAGTCTCATGGAAGCCGGTGACCAACAATTGGTTCATACGCCATTTGTTCCCGCAGGATACTGGAGCCCATGTGCATCATTGGTTTGGAATCCGGTTAAAGCGCCGGACATTCGCTTTTCGTCCTCTCAATTTCGTGAACAACAACCTCGCCACGAGAAGGCAGTGAGTAGGAATTCCCTGGTAGAGGCTATATACGCGTGGCCATGTGAGAGCATTTGGAGAGGGAGAGCGGGCTCTCCCCACTCTCAGCCGTACCAGGGCACATGTTTATTCCTTCGTTTACTTATTAGACAATCAAACTCATAAACAGGTAAATGTAGCTCTTTTTTTTAATACTAAAAACATGTAGGAATCAAAACAAACTACTAACTATATAAGAAATTACTTACCAAATCCGACTTTCTATATGAAATAAATAAGATGAATTATCTTGTAAATATACAACAGGAAATCCATTTGGACCGAATGTAAGAGAACTAAATCGAGAATTATGACCACCTATATGAATAAATAACAAAATAAATGGAAATGATATAATATTTACCAATAAAGTAATCAAACAAAACACTTGAATAGTTTGCTTTCCATTACGTAATTAAGGAGCTAATAATGAAAAAGTCAATGAAGTAAAATGTATAAGTAGATGAACTATTAAACTATCACTCTCTGATAGATCAAATGGTAGATCATCAACATTTATTTATTTATTTTAACAAATAGATATTGGTACAAGGAGGCACCAAATACATATGCGCCACGTAAATCTCATTTCATATGTGTGAGAGATGTGATACTGCCCAGGTGCCCAAACCGAAGTAGGTGATTTTATTAGGGGGCCACACACGGAGCCTTCGACCTACAGGTCTGATACACAAGGCAGTGGGGTGACGTAAGGAGATGCAGTCTAATCGTAGCCGGTGATTGGTTCATACGCCATTTGTTCCTTCAGGATACTGGAGCCCATGTGCACCACTGGTTTGGAACCAGGGTTTTCCAACTACACTAGGTGGACTCTCCATGTCCACCAATCCGGTCAAAGCGCCAGACATTCGCTTTTCGTCCTCTCAATTTTGTAAACAACGCCCCCACCACGAGAAGGCAGTGAGTAGGAGTTCCCTGGCAGAGTATATATACGCGTGGCCATGTAAGAGCATTTCGAGAGGTAGAGCGGTATCGCCCCACTCTCGGTCGTACCAGGGCATTTAGGGGCAGATCATCAACAATTTTATAGTGAATGAACCATTTTATTGAATTATCAATATTTTCACAATTGATTGATCACTGGGTGGTGATCAATCTCATGCTTGTCTAGTCGTTATTAGTGCAGATCGAATGCTATCGATCATGTTGCAATGTGGCCACCAGTCTAGGTGACTCGACACTGCGGGCACTATGTATTGAGATTAGATGGTGGTTGGAGGTAGTCAACAGGAAACCCTGGACCCGGGTTTCGTGCTACTTGGCACTCGTCAGCGAGGTGTACCTGTAATCTTGAGGGAACTGGTGCTCCGGGTGTGGCCCTTTAATAAAACCACCTACTTCGGTTTCGGCACTCGGAAAGTATCACAGCCCTCCTTGTACTAATGTTTATGTGTTTGAATAAATAAATAATAAAAAATAGTTCCACCTAAATACTAGAGTATCTCTCAAATATTATAATAGTAGCTAGATCATATATCTAGTGAATAGACAAATGAAGGTAAATTAACAAACGCATACAGATCAAAGGAATTGGCTATCAAATTACACCTTTAAAGCAAAGAATAGTAATACGATTTGGGAATTGAAGTACGTGGATAGGGTTTCAAATTAATGACCAACAGTTTAGAATTAAGTGGTTATATAATTACAAATCAAATAATTTGTGGACACTATGAGGTACGTTTGGCCAGTATCAAACTCAAAACACATCGATCAACGGTGATAGTAAACACTGGATATGCCAGTTATTGAGTAATACTAAAAATTGGTGATCGAACACTAATGAACATACTGATCATTCTAGGTAACTCGAAATCACGTCTATTATGTTCGGGTATTAGGTGGTAGAAGGTAATTGCCAGAACGATCTGGATGTAGATTTGGTGATGAATTGCTCGTTAGCAAAGCGCATTCGTAGGTTCGAGTAAAACCAAAGACAATGATTATATTAAGATCGCGGATAAATCTTGCGGACAAAAGTCAACTAGAGCGAAACTAAGGTCCAGGAACTTTTACTAATTAATTCCAAATACACAATTCAGATATTAGTCGTATTGACATTCTAGATGATGTTCTCATAATAATCGTGGCCAATAGATAAACAACTATGGTAACGGTTAGTTGTCGGTTGCTGTCACACTGATACATCCGTTAGCGTATTTTAATGTAATTTCCTACTTTCTATTTCTCTATTTGAATTTGTTCTATCCGAATTACACTGTCCATGTTTAGATATTTTTGATTTCCATTGACATTAATACTATTTAAGCTCTTTAATCTTATAAACTACCAGATACTTAGTGCAAAAGATGACAATATAGGGCAAAGAACATTTGCACTAGATTTTATAATCGATTGTCTTCAACGTTTAAACGACAAAAAATGAATAGACTATTCATATTTAATATTCTAGCCAAACGTATAGCATGAGATAGTACTAATCCAAAAGAAATAATAATCCGAGGATAATAATAATAATAACTTTAATAGTTGAATTCATGAGTCAGTTGAAGCTAGGTCACCATGGAAAACCTGGAAACACTGGACAGCCGTTTCGTCCTAGCATGGGACTCCTCAGAAGTGTGCTGCTCATGAATTCAACTATTAAATTATTATAATATCCACGAAATTCTTCTTTGATAATAATTGAAATGTTGAAATTCTTACCATTTAAAACGTCTTTAATATTAGTTTCAATTAAAACTTGAGGAAATATACAAGAATTGAATACAGAAGACATTGAACCGAAACCATAATTATTTAAACAAAAATTCCATAATATCAATCTACCAGATCGACATAAAGCAGCTAGACGATATTTACGATTTACATTAAATTTATTCATTATACTATTGTTAGGTAATGTAAAATTATTATTCCCATTCAAAAGTGTTGTTTGTTGTTGTTCATTTCCACTGACAACTGCATGTAATCGACTAAGATTATTATTATTACTTGAAGGTTCTGTGTATGTTGTGAAAATACGATTAGAAGTTGTTGAAGATGATTGTGATGATTCAGTGGTTTCAGTAGTCAATGCCAATGTATGAACACAGTCTAACAAGAGATTAGGACATATATGACCACCAGTACTGTAAATTAATTGTATTCGACCTTTGTTATCACCAACAGCAATAACTTCACTGGAATAATAAAAGAAAATAATATACAGGTTGGGAAAAAATGCACTTATAAAGTTTACATCAAGAAAAGAATTTAGTAAAACAACTACTGAAAACTAGAAAGCAATGGATAGCTACTTGATCTTAGTATGAGACTGCCCAGTAGTGTGCATTCACGACTCCACAAGGGGTGAGAGTCAGGATCCTCAGGTCCTGGGTCGAGTGCCTAATTTTTAGATCACTAAGTTGGAATCCAGTGGTTTCAATCAGTTTGCGATATTGTGCAACTATTCTTTGATGTCACTGGTTGGTAGCTAATTCACGCTCACTAGGGTTCTAATTCACTGACCAAAGGTATCACCAGAACACCGATCGTCTAAGATCAGTTCGTGATGCAAACAATAAGAATCGACAATCTCTACAAAACCCTTATGCTAGAAAAACGCATTCCGTTAACAAAATAATTTTATTAACAGGGGTTCGCAGAGTGTAGCATACAAGATTTTAAATAAATCGATGTTAGTTTTTCTAGTGCAAATGAATTTTACACCCGGCATTAATCAGTTGTTTACAATGGACTTCTATACTGGTAGTATTCTGGTAAAAGCAATCAGGCTTAAATAATCTCAAACGGTAAAGGTGACAGCTATAAAGATAGAAAAGGCTGGAGTTGTAATTTAATTTTTAAAAAAAAAACAAGTTTAGACTTGATGGATATCAGTCAATTAGTCAGTCAGCTACAACGTAGGACCAGGCACATATATGCATCGGTTCAAGTTGCCAAACTTCATCAGTACAACAAGATGAACACTAAATTCATAGAGGTAGTTACCTCAATGGTGGGAATATATAAAAGATTGCATATGAGGATATAATACAGGAAGGAAGAATGAGTTGGTGGAAATATATATAGCAATTTCAATCTCATAGTTCTAGGGAAGACAGAGAGCGTATACACCTACGCCACTGTGATCGATTCTGAAACCAGTCACGGTGCAAGTGCATTCATTTTTGTCTTTCCTTAGACCTCAAAATACACCAGAGTCATTGTGATCGACTCTAAGCCATGTCACATAGAGTCTCCACCCACTGGTTACGATAGTCGCGCGAAACGCAAACAAGTAATCTGCAACTTGGCTCAGACTAGAAGTTAATGACTTCAAGCATTAATGCCACGTTTTGGTTTGGCCTCCCCTAACATTCTTTTAACCATCCCTTACACCAGTCAGCATTGCGCGTTGTGGTAATCGGTATTCAGGCATACGCAACACGTGACCCAACCATCTCAGTCGATGAAGAATTACCCTGCGTCTAATCTCACTATTACTTACCCGATGATCCCAGCGGATGCTGGCAATATTTCTAATACATATGTGGTCAAATACTAGTAACTTATGAGTATCTTCTATTATTAATGCCCATGTTTCGCAGCCGTAAATTAGAACAGAACGAACTGTTGCACAGTATATTCGTCCTTTTATTGATAGACGGATAGCTCGAGTTCGCCATAGGTGACGTAAGTTGGCAAAAGTCAAATGAGCTTTCTGAATCCATGCCGAGATTTTGTCAAGTTTAATATGTATAAATTGAACTCAACTATGAGATAGAACACTACGAATAATGTACATTAGTCGCAGAGGATACTGATTTAGATGAGTTTTACCCAACCATAAAGGGTAAGTATCATTACTTAACATCGAACAACAAAATCTTTTTGAAAGTTATTATTGTTATAACATTTAATGAAAACATAATGTTCATATTACTTACTCTGAATATGCATACGAAGTTAAACGATCTGAACATATTAGTTCCCATAAACGACGATCACTACGACTGGCAATTATTCGAGAGACTGAATTCGATAATTTTGGGATTTCTTCACCACGTGTAGATGAATTCGATGAGTTGATTAACTGCACAATAATTGGACCATCTATCAGATTAGAACATACAAATTGAACTTTTGATGCATTCCCTAGTTGATCAGATGTGGTGATTAGAAACGGTGCAAAACTTGCCGTTCCTAAAGGTGGATTTTGTACAGATGATGACGTATGATCAGCTGAAAAAAACGAAAAGTTTACTTGGTTATTTATGAACCACTTCAAAACACAAAAAGAAGTTGTTTAACAGCATAGTTCTCAGAAATTCTAATTGGAAAAATCATAAAGATGCAGAAGTCTTTTAAAGATAAATACGGTAAGGCTTACTAGATTCCAAAGTAGATCCAAGGGTGAGCTTCGGTTTTGGTGGTGATGACTCCGGTGTAAAACACGGTTTTTTATTCTGTAACATAGACGACTTTGAAACATCCGATCCTGATTTCGGAGATTTTTCTTCTTCAGCAAACAATCGAATACGTCTTTTACGTTGTTTGTTACCAGTAACAGCGACTTGTTTATTTGTCTCATCACTGATCGGTTTAATATGGTCCGTATCATCGTCGTTGTTATCTAAACGTGGACGTTTCAGTTCTATCCCATTTTCCTGGTCCATAGCAGTAGTGGCAGTAGTAGTAGTAGTATTAGTAGTAATAGTAGTAGTAGTAGTAAACGTAGTCGATTCAAGTGTTAATTTCTTTGATGGTGCTTGGACAAACGTAGCTAATGACTGTGATTCGGAGTTGATTTTCGGTTCTACAGGTGAATGACTTGGGCATATAGTAACAGTAGTTGACCTAGAAATAACCAATTACAAATCAAGGTAACCAACTAAACTTATTGAAGAGCACATACACAACAATGAATGAAAGTAGGTAGTAGATATTCATGTAAACAATGAAAGGTTACACTTTTTTTAAACTTACGGAAATGTAGTTTCATTTCCCTTCGAATCAACTGTATTTATTGTTGATATAGGTGTAGGAACAACAATATTCGAATTACATGTTTTATTTAAAATCGTAGAAACAGTATTGTTGACTTGTACAAGTGTAACAGTTGGAAGAGCATCATCACTGGCTATAGTTTTAGACATAACAGAATTAGTAGAATGAGTTGTTGTTACATTTGCTCCGGTTGTTGATATTGCTACTATATGATTTGTTTTATTTATATCTGAAATTATGTCCGAACTATTCTCCGAGCTCAATTTACTTTCACATCTGTTAGATTGAGGTGATGAAAATTGTGGATTGGAATTAGCATCTTCATCAGGACTATGATATAGAGAGAAGAATGGGAAAAAGGAGACAATGATTGACGTTAATAGAAAAGCTTTATTCAGATTTATTGAGTTTCAACTTATTAAAAACAGATTATAAAATTATTCGCCATTCATATCACTATTAGTAGGGATATCCTTGTTAATATTCAGAATGGGATTTTGATTAGGCTTTGTTGTTATATGTGTATAATGTGCGTATCGCCTCACTTTAGCCATTGAATGTTTTATAGAATAGACACAGATACACTCAGCTGACGAACTGCGACAAAGATGAAATGCGAGATCAAGCGTTAGCCATAATCTACCAATCCAATAAAATCTTTCACTATCATTCATAAGTGTTTTATGTTTTCCAAGACTGAATTTGATAAGTTAATTGTCGTACAGAAAATCAACATTTTGATTCATAGTTTAAGTGATACTCAAAGACGATATCGTAAAAATTCTACTTTTTCTAAACACTGTTATCTGAACGAGAACTATTTACTTTATCGTGGGATCTTTGTAAGCACTAGAGAAAGATGGAAGACAGCTAAACGTGACGAGACCACGATAAGGCATTAGTTCATGAAATCATCAACTGCTGATCTACTACATACTGGTGGGTCTCGTATACATAGTTGGCGTTCACTGGATTATCGTGACCGGTGGTTTCAGAAAGTCAGTGAAATGGCTCAAAATTAATTTCAATGAAGTAGATTGATCTATCACTTGTTTGCTCCTAAATCCCAAGTTCTAATACCATTCCATAATTTTCATTCAATTAATTCATCCCTTCTTCTCAAATCACATGCTCCACATTGGATCCTTTCTTAAACTATCACTAGTATTACTACTTTTACGATCTTGGTATTCCTCATATTAATTTCATTTTATTGTGTTCATGTTGTACACATTTGTCTCTTGAGCTAAGTTGTTTGTGAATGAACTATAAAAACATTTTGTTATTAGAATGAGAGTTTTTGAAGACTGTAGTAATTTTAATAATTGAATTGATGAGTCTATTTAACCTAGACCACTAATGAAGACCTGGAAACACTGGACGGCTGATTCATCCTAATGTGGGACTCCTCAGAAGTGCGCATCCACGATCCGCGACACGAACCCAAGACGTTCAGTCTCACGAGCGAACGTTTAACCTCTAGACCACTGAGCCGGTATCCAACGGCGTTGATACCTAACTTCATACGATCCATGATCAGCTCATGAATTCAATTATTAAGATTTTGGATATGCTATTTGTAGACAAGAAGTTGAAGTAATTAAGATAGAATTCAGACTATTCTGTTATCATTCACTTGAATAACTTGACTCAAGCGAAAGCAGCTAATATATTTTGATACTATACACACCTAATTCTTTGTTAATTATGTTTATCAAACAAGTAAAATAGATAAATGAAACTGCTCACACAAAACACTGTATTAGCGTTGTTGACCTTTAAGGCTGAAAGGTACATATCGAAAATCAATTCGTTTCTTTCTCAAATTATGTTGTCCGGTCAGTTGTCACTGATTAAGAAACATTAGACATTATTTCATACAACCTTGAATATACTATCAGATAATTATAGATGGGGATAAAAACAATTTTTTTAAAAAAACAAAAAGGTTAATCCTAGTTTTATTTCGTCTTATAGGTTAACAAACTTTAGGTCATTCACACTTAACTCTTGCTTACTTGGTTTTACAAATGTAAGCTGTGGTCTTATGATTAATTGACAGTGTTTTTCCTCAATCTACTCATCAGACAACCTTGGATCCATAGTATATGAATAAATTTATTTACATGATATTAGATATCTATTAGAGTATGAAGCAGTATTGAATAGAGGTTATGTTGTTGAATTACTTCTGGTTAAAAACAGTGTTGTTTCACTGAATTACAATTTGGACACTATCATTTTTAAGTAATTTTCAGTCAATTAATAACATGCGATTACATGAAACAGTAATTCAAGTCTTATCACACAATAATACAAAGATATAAATAGTAAAATTCTGTCAAAATTATGTTCTTTAGACAAGCTTAAAAATTGACAAACTTGAAATATTAGTAAATTTGAAGCCAAATTAACACAGAAAATGAGAACTATGAAACAGATATGATGATGACCATAAGTCTCATTTACGACTCGTCGACTGGATGTGTCTGCATCGCAGAGTTGATGTTCAACTCTGGGACTAGAACCTAGTACCGTTCACTTCAAACGCTCCCCACTTAGTTACTGAGTCCACATAGCCACTAACTTGTACAATGGAGTGAAGTTTAATTCATTTTTGTACTGTTTGTTTGATGTTTAGGGTTGCAGTTGATCACTCTCTTATTGGCATATGTGAATCCTATGCAGATTGCTTAGATATTTCCTTAAGTCACAAGCATTATAAACAAAGAAAATTGGATCAATTTGAATATGTGCCTAGGAATTTTCTGTTCATTCAGTAACTAAATAATGTATATAAGAGCATAACTTTCACTAGGGATTTCAATTCAAGATTTGACTTCACATTGTTTGTTTTACAATCTGGAAATTTGGGATGCTCTACAGAACTTTGTTCCCATGAGACATATGAATATAGCGTTGGATAATTAAAGGGACGTCCCTAGTAAAGATTACGCTAATATACGTAGAACTAATTATTTTTTTATTTTAACACATAGATATTGGTACAAGGGGGCACCAAATACATATGCGCCGGACATTCGCTTGTCATCCTCTCAATTTCGCAAACAACACCCTCACCACGAGAAGGCAGTGAGTAGGACTTCCCTGGCAGAGGCTATATACGTGTGACCATGTGAGAGCATTTGGAGAGGGAGAGCGGACTCTCCCCACTCTCGGCCGTACTGGGGCATTTGGGGGCACGCAGAACTAGTACATTAAATAAACAGAAAAATGCTGGATTTTGTACTTTTTTTTAATTCCCACACACAAAGTTACAACAAGGAAAAGTTTATTCTTTTTTTAAACAGTCAACGCTTGTTTTGAATATAATTGAACGTGTTTATTCACAGTGAAATAATGTAATTCTTTCTTTGAAAAATGAATGATCAACTTAGGTGCTTATTATATGAGACAGAACAAAGTCGACAGATTTGTTTTTAGATTGGTGACTTAATTATGTCAATATGATGGATTAAGTCGCAAGTCAAGCGAGACAAACTACCGTTAACATAATTAAGTCAGTCGTTCAATTGCAATCTTTAGGATTGTATGAATAGTATACATGAAAGATTACGTAAGAAATGAAAAAATAGTACATATGACATCAATTAACAAGATGATAGGATTTCATATAATACTTAAGGATTAATGTAGAAGAAGTTAAGAAATCCTGACCATAGACAAATATGGAATTATACTGATTGAAATCATGACTCAATTGAAGCTAGACCACCATGGAACACCTGGAAGCACTGAACTCCTCAGCGATGCTATGAAGACAATGGTGTACGGTGGAGCAACTTCTTGGATTGGTTGAGGTTAGACATTAACACCGTTGGATGCCGGTTGGCTCAGTGGTCTAGTTGATTAAGCGCCTGGCGCGAGACTGGTGGGTCCTGGGTTCGAATCTCGCGGGATGCGGGATCGTGGATGCGCACTGTTGTGGAGTCCCATGCTAGGACGAAACGGCCGTCCAGTGCTTCCAGGTGGTGGTCTAACTTTAATTGACTCATGATTTCAATCAGTGAAATTTCTAAAAATCTCCACAAAACCCCTTCTGAAAATGTGGAACCAATTTTACACACAATATAAATCTAAACATAAGAAATACAGTTCCAATGAAATGAGATGAAACAATTAAGAATTAAGATTGACACCTAAGTTGAGATTAGCAGGAAGATACAAAATGAATACAATTGCAACCGATTTTATATCAACTCGCCTAACGTATTCAACCCCTAACTCCTTGTAGTAAGCGGATTTTGCCTGAGAAATTTAAATCCATAGAAAATTCAGAGCTAAATGGTTTCCAGATTGATATCACATCTTGATATACAAACTACAACCGTTCTTTTAACCTATTCATTCAGTATAGGGTATGAAAAGAAGTTAAAATCAACAAAACGGTAGGAAAAAACTGAAGTGAATGGAATTGCAGAAGGAAAAAAAGTATTTTTATTATTAGAATCAAGGTTTAGAGAAGGAAATCTGTACACAAGCCAAAATAATTTTCAATCATGAGTGAAGATTCTTCATTTGAATAATGTGACTCTCTTCAGGGAGAAAGCCACCGAGATATCTGAAATGAGTCCACTATAAAAAAGCACATTCTATGAAAAAACCTATCATCATTTAGATATTCACTACAACATAGTAACCATAATAATAAGTATTAAAACATACCTGTCCAAATGACCTAGAAATTTAGGAGTTATTCTTCGTCGTCCGTCTTTACTTACAGTTTCAATCTGTTTGGATGGCTTGAATGAGAAAAAAACACAAATAATGTCAACAATAGTACAAATTGAGCAATAGAAAAGAAAAAACATTCAAAACAATCACAAAATTTCTATGGATAACTGTCAATTAAGAAATCGATAGATACAACTAAGTTATACGCAACAACATAATGACCGATAACTGAGAAAAAAATAGGGTGATATAGTTCGGAATCGGTTGTAGCTGGTGGAGGGGGGGGAAGCAAAATGCATTCACTCTATTTTGTTCCTTCATTTTTGAGTTTTAAAATTATTTCGGATAATATTATTTGTTTGATCTTTTCTGTTGTTATTTCAAATTCTTTGGCATTTTTCCTGATGATCTTATGTTGACAAGATATAGAGGCTGGAAGTCATACAGATATATTTCAGATTCTATGTTGCTGTTGACTGGCAGTATTTGTAACCTTTCTGATTTTGAATCATCGACTAAATGATGCTAGAATCGTCGTGAGACGTGAAGTTTTCAGTATGCGGTAATGTGCTGAATTCCATTGAAATTATGAACTGATCTACGTTAGGCCACCACTGAAAACCTGGAAGCACCGGATGGCCGTTACTTCCTAGTGTAGGACTTTTGAACAATGCCCATTCACAATACCGCATGAGGAGATCAAACCTAAGACGATTGGCCTCTCACGCGAACGCTTAACCTCTAGAACACTGAGTCTGTATTAAATTATTGAATAAAATTAACTTCTTATGATGACTGATTTAAACGACTACTTATAAATGATCTTTTGGGAGTAAATCAACGTTATGAATTCCTCTTTATTTAATCATAGTGATGGATTGTTGTATGTCAGATTCTGAGCTCATGAAAGATGTGATGTTCTTTAGTGCATCGTTGTGTCATTTCTTTACATACCACCTGAAGATCATTCACTTAATAAAGACTTCATATCAATTCAAACAACCATGTACGCTTGAAAACTTAAATTCGCCGTTTTCCTTTATCAGATTTCAACAGGCCACTAACCAAACATTTTAAATTCAACAGTAGCTTATTAGTATATGATTACCGTGGAGATTACGGACAGATTGTAACCAAACAACTATCAAAAACCAGAAAGGACTGAACAACTGAATCGAGATAGTACGGGATTCCTTAGAAGTGTGCATCCTTTCAAGGAATACAACCCAAGACTACAAGACCTCGTAGAAAGTACTTATTCTTCAAGCTACCAAGACAGTAATCCAAAGGTTTACATTGCTAATTTTAGTCAGTTCGTCGTCAAATACTTTCTAGTTTTATATAGTCAGTTTGTGATATACACTATAGAATTCATTGGTAACATATTTGACTGGATAGCTAAGGACGACTTAAGCATATAAGACATATTATTATGTCCACAGTTTATTTATTTATTTATTTCAACACATAAATATTGGTACAAGGAGGCAACAAAGATATGCACCACATGAATCATTCGATTTTTGTGAGGGCTATGATACTGCCGAGTGCCCAAACCGAAGTAGGTGGCATTATTAAGAGGCCAACCCGGAGCATTTGACCTAAAAATCTGATACACAGGGCAGTGGAGTAACTTTAGGAGATGCAGTCTCATGGTAGTCGGTGACCAATAACTCATTCATATACCATTTGTTCCTTCAGGATCCCGAGACCCATGTACATCAGGGTTTTCCAATTCCACTAGGTCAACTCTCCGTGTCCACCAATCTGGTTAAAGCGCCGGACATTCACTTTCCATCCTCTCAATTTCTTAAAATACACCGTCATCGCGAGAAGGCAGTGAGTGGGAGTTCCCTAGCAGTGATTGTATGCACGTGGCCATGTGAGAGCATTTGGAGAGGGAGACCTGAGTCTCCCAACTCTCGGCCGTACCAGGGCATGTCCACATTTCATAATTATAATCTCTAAACTTTACTACTAAAACCCACACTCCGTCATTATTCTAATTAAGCAACTGATCATAATGATTTTTTATTGACAGTATTACGTAAGTTATAATAAACAAACCATAAACCTAATTATTAAAAAGTGATCATCACACTTTATCACCATTCAGATGATCATTTCCAAAACTTCCCACATATTCAATCGTACTTCGAAGACAATTTTTTAAAGAAAAAACAACTTTGGTCATAAAAATGAGATATTTCATATTGTGAATAAGAAAGAATCAAAGTACTTACACCTTTTGGAAGACACTTCGCTTGTTTATCTCGTGTTGGTGAATGCTTTAATTTTGTACGTAATTCAGCTTGAGTTTTTTGCAAAGCTAAAGCTTCAGGGGTTTCTAGTAAGATATCACTTTGATTCAGTATACTTGAATTGTCTTTATTTTCATCAGAAAAATCTACTTCTGTAGATAAACCATTCGATGTAATTGGACGAAATTTATCTAATAAACTTTGTCCATAAATTTTGTAATGTAATTGAATCTAAAAACAGAATTGATATGGAAGTGTAATTTTTTCGGAGTAGAAATCTTGAAATTAATATGAGAATAATAACAGTGACAGAAGAACAGCATGTTCTTTTAAAGAACTTTGGCCTATTAAACAAAACCAACAGTAACTAAGTAGTGTATAAACAAAAGATGACAACTAACATCAATGTACAATATGAGCGATCAATTGTTTCACAACAGCAACGATACCACAATTGAAAACTTTATTTTCATAGCCTAGAGCAGGAACGGTTGTGATATAAATGACATTTCGTTTCTAAATATTCTGAATATAGCTCTTTTTGGTTTAAAAAGAGTGCAGAGCCGTTAAAGTGTTAGTAAACCTCTCAGAAACACCATTTTTTTTAACAGAAAATCTTAGAGTACAGTTTTATCGAACAAACGAAAAAAGGCCCCTGACATCAAAAAATATACGAATTGTTGGCCCGTATTAAGTGTGATGGTCATTTAACATTTAGCGGAAGATGATGAAGCAACTAAATAGATGTATAACCTGATGGAAGATTAACCTATTCTATACAAGTCGGTCTTTCTGAGCAAACTATCAATTCATATACTGATAAGTCTTATCGATTGAACGCTATATTAGTTTCCTAAGCTATTCGGGTACCCCGAAAGCTAGAACTGCACAGCGACTTGAACACCAGAGAGAAGACGCAAGTATGAGGGAAAATACTTTACTCCGAGGTTCATTTTATTACAGAAAATATAGGGTTTTTATAATATATCTAAATGTCCCTGGGTCGCTGGAATATTCTGGAATGCTACTAAACATAGTAGCACTGTAGTAGCCAACCAATCAGGGCTTCCGCATGTGACGTTTCGCTACCTTGATATTTCTGGCCAAGACTCCAAATGAACGCTGATCGGACGAAACACTTCTTAGCGTTTCTTGATGCTTGCTTGTCTTTTGCAAGCGATTTCTGGATCACCCCAACATATACCCGTAAATACAAAACACAGCACTATAAAGTTTTCATATAATATGATTAGTATACAGAGTATTACATAAAATGTTTTAAGATTAAACAACTTACAACTTCTTTAAGTGACCATGGAGTTCCTAATTCTTTGTGAGTAAAACCCATATAACAAACAGAGCCATCCAGTGAGCAAGCCATTAATTCACGACCATCAGAACTCCTTCATTAATGATTAAATATAAACAGTTTTGGTTAAATATTCTAAGAATTTATTTTTTTCGAAATTTCACTTTATTAAGAGAGTGAAGTGAGCACATTGTCAATGATGACTCACTTACATACTGGTTTGAATACTTGATATTCATTCAGTGAAAATGCTACTGGCTTGGGGTGTTCGAATCTATACCTATGTGTATACTATGAAGTATACGGGCCTTCGCTTATGAATTCTATGCATGCATGTATCATATACTTGCAAGGGTAAACTTTTGTGTTTATATGTATATTTAGGAGGTGTAGACTTTCCTGTGTTTTCCATAATTACATGCACACCATATTAGCAAACACGCACATTTACGCCAATATGTATATATTCAATCCCTGCATTTGAATATATGCATATGAAAAATACTTGGTGATAGTTTCCAAGTTTCTCCACTGGTGAACTCATTAGTAGTTCATCAGCGCTGATGGTATGTTGGTATGTTGAAAATATGCTCAACTTATTTCCGATTGAATAGGTGAAAATATTATTAAATATTATGCATAAAATGTAACTCAAAAGCCGATCAAATAAACCCGTAAGTGGTCTATTAATTCATGTATAGTTCACTATAAAACAATATGTAACACTGAGAAAAACAAGATATTTTCTCGCTGCATTAAGCCAAATAGAATCTAAGATATATTTGTATTCATCCAACCTGTCACATCATATCAGCATACCAACGAAGTAGAAGCAGTAGCTTAAAACCTGAATCAATTCGACATCAGTTCTAAGTCAAATGAGAAGTGATTGATGTTAATAGGCGTATGCTTTGGCTTAATTATCCAAAAGGAACAATTATATGTTATTATTTAAAAATCTGGCTTGATTTTCTGTGAAAAAAACAGATCTACGCTCGTGAATGAGTTTTCGGACATATCTCAACTCAGTAAGCCAATAAAGCTTCCTAGTCACTCCTGGTTTTTATACGCACGGAGCTGTACAGGTTGTGTACACAGGTACACAGGTAGTGTATATTTCAGTAAGAGACCCGGACGGCTGTTCGACACAACAATAGTGATATCAGTGGTATTGGAAATACTGGACATGGAGAATATGATCCGAGAAGAATAAATTAACTCGAGGATTTCAAAGTACAGAATAACTTTGAAATGCAGAAAGTAAAGGAAAATAAAAGTTGAATGCGTCTGAGCGATTGCGGTCGATTTTAACCCAACATCTTTAACTAGTAGGCGGGATAATCAAAAAGATCTCAACGAGGTAGTTTGAGGTTACTAATATTGTTCAGTCCAATGACCAACAACTTCATAGACTGCAACTACATTTTGGTGTGAGTTTCCCTAACTTTCTTCTTTGGAAGAGTGATGAGTAACGAGACTCCAAAGAATGTATTATTTATGATTGTTCGGAGTTTACTTGTTAACCAATGACACTTAAATGTCACTTTAATGGAGATGTATGACATAGACTTTCCTCACTTACTGATAGTTGAACTGTTTCCTCAAGAGCATTCTAGAGTAATAACCTTTACAAGTTATTTTCATAAACAATGTTTTGCATTGCAGTCATATTTAGTGAAAATATTTCACAGTAAGGCAATTGTTGAGGTTTCATCACAGTAAATTTACTTTCATAGTATTACTAAAACGCTATTTCAACAAAAAAATCAGAATAGTAACATACCATGATAAATCACAAACAGAATTAGTGAACAGATCATGAACAACAATTCGTGCACGACGACCCGCTGTCGACTGAAAAAGTTATAGATATCAATTAAAATTAAAATACAGTTTGAAAAGTTGGCATTTTGACTTAACTGGCTAAAGGAACAGAACTTTCTAGTAAATGTAAAACAAAACATCACTATTAGAGTTTAGGATCTCTGAGCCATGGGTTATATATGTTCAGGATACTCAGGACGTGCTATGTCACTGACCAACAGAAGTTTGAGATTAAGATTGTTAAGCTTCGACCGAGAGACTAGGTTCTGTCTTGTTGCGTGAAGACCTGAAGTTTCTGAGTAGGTGCAGATTACCTGGTGAAGGTACGTACGATCATTGTAACCAATGGTTGGAGACTGGATGATATACTTCAAAATAGTTATCTTTGGCTGACGTCTGTTTATCTTTTGTCTTTTTTTAGTTCTTAGGTCACCCTAAAAACCATATTACTCCACTCATTTGCTTTATTAACACTAATACTATTACTGATTCAACTACTCTGGAATTTCCCTTGACAATTTCATCTTGCTGAGCTGATGAGGTGTGACAACTTAAACCGATGTGCACACATTTGCGAGGTTTAGCATTCAATATAACTGACCCTGGTTTAAAAATTTTGTGTGGATAAGCAAGCCTGCTAAGTTTAAAATCAAGATAAAACAGATGTTTTATGCTCTAAGGCTGGTTTTCATTGATTTTGATAGCCTGAGTAAGACTGGGAGAGTATTGTACCCGAGTTCACATGCAATTTAAAGATTAAATAGTAAATGATAAATCGTAGTGATCCATGCTACCGACCATGCACGACATCTAGGTCGCAATCTACATGCCGTTGTCTGAATCAGACGGACAAATGTGTATACCAATAATTTGTGTACTTATTTATTCAGTTTGGCAATTAAACCTTCCTGGTCATTTTACATTCTTCAAATTCGTACAGTTGGTCAGTCAAGCACATAGGAAACGTGTGTATCTGAATCAGACATCGTGAATCATTCCACAGTTCCCAGTTCAAAATGAAAACTAAATTTAAATTGGATGTTTCTTAAAACAAAACCATAGTAACAAAACTCATCTAATTTATGCTATTTAATAACACAAATCGGATTAGTTCATGACTTTCCCACAAACCATTAGCATGAACAAGAATATATTACTTTTTTCTGTTCATAATATCAAGCACTAATTAAAACTGTCTAGTACAACTTAATAGATAATTTGCCTTTAAAGACATCACATCCATTTGTTAACGTACAGTTGAAGGAAATTTATATTTAATAAAGGTGATGTGTGCTACACATAAATCTTTCGATTTCTCTGAGGGCTGAGATATTGCACAAGGGCCAAACAGAAACAGGTGGTTAACTTAGGGAGCAACAACTCAAGCCTTTCACCTAAAGATCTCGTACACAATGTAGTGGAGCACAGCAACGTCAAGAAATGCAGTAACATGGCAACCGGTCACCAATAATTCATTCATACGTCATTTGTTTCCTTAGGATCCTCGAGCTCATGTGCTCCAGTGGTTTGGAATCAGGGTTTTCCAACTCCACTAGGTCAACTCTCCGTGTCCACCAACCTGGTTAAAGAGCCGGACATTCACTTTCCATCCTCTCAATTTTGTAAATAACACCCCCACCACGAGAAGGCAGTGAGTAGGACTTCCCTGGCAGTGATTGTATGCACGTGGTCATGTGAGAGCATTTAGAAAGGGAGAGTTGAGTCTCCCCACTCTCGACCGTACCGGGACAAATGATGAATTCTTCATCAAGACAAAATAAATTTTTCTAAAGTGGTATATTCATGAAAAATGGTAAACATAGAATGAGTTAAATAATCTGCATATTGCGGACTTTTTTTCTGATAAGAACAACTTGTAGAAGAGAAAACAATTGCTTGGAATTGAAAACACTGATCTTGTGGAAATAGTGTTTAGTGTTAGCTATAACTATGAACAAGAACTGATAAACACCTAAAAACTTTCGGTTAGGAAAACATAAGATTGACAGATTATAAATGACTTCTGTTTTAACTTTCCCTATTTAGAAAGAAGTAGTTCAGTGGAAATCATCATGTGCATTGTAACATTTGTGGCTTAATGTTCAAATAAAAGTCGACGGATGAAAGCCCAGAATTGTACCGGTGAGACTATAGTCTATGAACGACCTTTGGACGACGTCAAAGTGACCTTGGGAACGTCTCTCTATTCACTAGGAGACTGAATGAATTTCACGCCAAAATCCAAGATCTGTTATCCTAAATCTGATTGATTCGTCCATTAATTAAAGTCTCGCACCCCCAACCAGTATTAGTTTATGTTGAAATTATTAATGAAGGATAACTAACTAGGCAGTTTTGTAATTTCTATTCAATTAAAAAGTAATTCCAACCAACGACTGAAATCAAGTGAAAATCTTTCGCAAACTAAAGAGAACTGGAAAGTTATGCCGATAAAGTTTGAAAATCTTAAACAGTGTCCACGTATAGCTTTTAAACCAAATCGAACCAATAGCCATTAGACCTTATAATGAGCAAGAAATTATTCAGTCACTTGGTTGGACTTTAACAGTTACCTTTTTTTAAGTGAAGTCAAAAAAATGAGGTAGAGCGTGCATGTTCTACCAACAAGTGTAAGATATAGACCTCCAATCAACTGCTCATTAGGATGGAAAATAGCTGAGCAAAGTGGAAGCAAAATGGTACACCTAATGACAACGGATGCACACTACAGGATCCACAAATACCAACACGTCATAGAGGTAGAGCGTATACCACAAATCTCAATAACCACATTTGTAAATCTTGCAGATCTTACAAATCAGAAACACACCAGTATCACATTCTCCATGTAATCTTAAAATCTGATAATAAACAAGTATACTTAAAAAAGGCTAATTAGAGAATAAGTAAACAATTAGACTATGAACAACGTTACACAACAAAATATTCCACAGTTTACAACTACTTACCCATACAGAAACAGAACGATCCTTACTGCCAAGAGCTAAACAAACAGCACCCTAAAACAAGAAAAATAAAAGATAATTTTTCAAAACCTTATGAATAACCATGTCGATGAGTTTAGAAAAACAACTATAGTTACAAGAACGTAATTGAATATGATATATAAATGTAAATATAACAAACGACATTGTTTCTTGAAATGATGGCGAAGATTTGTAGTTAAAGTGGATACTTTGTTTGTTAATGGTAAGTTTAATGGTTCAATTATGAAGCATTTGTTGCCATTCTGGACAACAAATTATAGCTGTAAAACAAAAAGAAGTTGTTTATACTAATACTAATAACATAAATGCTAATATGCAAACAATTAATTAACCATAAGATTGAGTGTCATTTAATATAAACAATTTATTTAAGTATACAAACATTGGTACAAGAAGGCACCAAACAGATATACGCCACATAAATCATTCGATTTGTGTGAGAGTTGTCCAGACGCCCGAACCAAAACACCCGGAGCCTTTGGCATAAAAGTCTAATCCACAAGGCAGTGGAGCAAATTCATGAGATGCAGTCCCATGGTAGCTGGTGACCAACAATAGATTTATGCGCCATCTGTTCCATCAAGATCCTGGAGTCTATGTGCATCATTGATTTGAAATTAGGGTTTTTCAAATCCCTTAGATGGATCCTCCGTACCTATCAACCCGATTAAAGCGCCAGACATTCGCTTTTCGTCCTTTCAAACCCGTAAACAATACCCCAACCGCGAGAAGGCAGTGAGTAGGACTTCCCTAACTGATAACATCAAGACAAGTGTGTACACTAATTTCAATCGAAAAATATGATCTTAAAGAGTTAATGTGAACCATTAAAATGAACCTTTTCTTAATTTTAATTCACCAAACTGATAGGTATAATCAATGTTACAAAATCAGACAGTCAGATTCAATGTACGACCCTAATACGAATCTGTATCAATTCAGTCAATATGAAAGAAAATTAATAGTATGGGTTATTATTTTTACTATTAATGGCTTTATTCAATATTATATTTTTGGTACAATATAGAATTCTCAGCATAAAGTATTTTAATATAGTGAAAATTCCCAGTTTGACATTTGGTTCATAAAGAAGAAAGGGATCGAGCGAAGAAATTTCTGTTCAATTAGTTTTTCATCATGTCTTTACACACTAGTATATAAGTATGGTTTACAATAATGAGGTAATACTTATCGAGTGGATACGTTACGTAATAATTGGATAATGACATATTGATTATAAATTGGAAGAAAGAGGATTGACAATAACCGAAGTAATTATTCGAAAATCAAGTAGTTGCTATGTTGCATAATACATTCAAAACAGAAGGAACTAACAAAATATTTTGGTCGCGCAATTTTGTGGATTGGCTGAGGTTAGACATTAACACAATTGGATGCCGGCTGAATGGTCCAGTTGCTTAAGCGTTCGCGCGCGAGACCGAAGGCCCTGGGTTCGAATCCCGAGGGCGGGATCGTAGATGCGCACTGCCGAGGAGTCCCACAATAGGACGAAACGGCCGTCCAGTGCTTCCAGGTTTTCGATTATGGTCTAACATCAATTGGCTCATGATCTCAATCAAAAATATTTTGGTTAATGGTCATTAGTATAGTAGTTATGTAAGAATCTAGAGCCGAATGTTGAGAATAAATAAAATACAAAAAATGGAAGGAATACGAAAATAGTTTATCAAAGTTCTTCTACAAATTCCCCTATACCGATCGCCAAGGTAGTGAGAGTGGTTGTATAAACTTCTTTTGGATGCAAAGGTTAGGTTCGTGAACATAGATTGCAATAGCTTCAGTAATGTGCAAAAGACGCACTCGTAAACCATGTGGCAAATTTGATGGAATATGGTGGATAACCTTAAAAGCTTAATTCAGTTCAACTTTGTTGTAACGTGTAAATTGCAGGTTAGATGCTCAGAGTATTTATCGATCAATTCAGTGACACGCAAAACACGTAAGGACGACCTAGAGTCCCGATTGGTCCCGCTTCCCTGTCTAGCCCAGCCAGTTGAGTCTAGAACGTAAGTCACAGCCTCTGAGTTATGAATCGTTATATTTCAAACACACTCTGCTTATATACCAAACAAACAAACCACATCGTACCATAAAATAGAAAACAACATTTACACAATATTTAACAAGTGAAACAAATATCGATCAATAGGGAGTGTACATTTAACGTCCAAGGACACCATTCGACTTAACACGATAATTATTGGTATATTCCTCTGCATACCTAACATACTTGATGACCTGTATCCATCAATTGAACGAGAATAGAACTCTTAGTTACTCTTACCTGTCCTTTGCTCAACTATAACGGATGGTGTTCTGTTATACGATGACGAACTTGCCGAATTGTATGCCTTATATGACTGGCTCCACAGGAGCAGTTGAAACGATCAATTCTCTTTTTTTTATATTACGCAACATAGCAACTACTTAATTTTCGAATAATTACTTTGATTAATATTAGTATTAATCCTCTTTCTTCGAATTACTCAATGTTAATTTATAATCCATATATCATTATACAAATTACTACGTAACGTATCTACTTTCATTATTGTAAATCATATATATTAGTGTAGAGTCAGGATGAAAAACAAAGTATTTCAACAAATTACTGTTTCTTATTTCATGATTGATCCTCATAGTAAATATTGAATGATCGACAGTTAGATGTTAACAGTTTAAGAATCCACATCTGGATAATGTTCATTCTTTTCGATGCATATTGTCAGCAACCATGATGATGTTTATAATTGTACTTTTTTGTAAATTGTACAGCGAAAAGTCGTGAACTTTTCATAAATGTGCCTGAATAGGTTATGTGATTAATAGACATAATGAATAACTTGTTGAAATATCTAGGTTTCGCTAACATGTAGCCGAGATATTCAAGCAAGCCATAAAGGACATAGGAAAGTATATCAGTATTCACTAGGTTTAACAAAACTTGTTAATGTTAGATGAATTTGTCTTTTGTTCAGATAATTTATTTAACAATATAATGTCGATACTATAACCAAGCATAATAATTCATAAAGATAAAACCAACATACCGGAATCCCAGATCCATCTTGTTTACGTAAAACATTAGGATTATAACGCTGAAAATAGAAAATTAGTAAAAGATAAAAATATCGATCAATTCATTGAACTGGCCTTTGACCTAAAGGTCTAATCCACAAGGTAGTGGAGCAACGTCGAGAAATGCAGTAACATGGCGATCGGTGACCCACAATAGGTTCATAAGCCATTTGTTTCCTCAAGATCCTGAAGCTCATGTACAGAATTTCCCAACTCCACTAGGTGAACTCTCCGTGTCCACCAACCTGGCTAAAGAGCCGGACATTCGCTTTCTATCCTCTCAATTTTGTGAACAACACCACCACCACGAGAAGGCAGTGAGTAGGACTTCCCTGGCAGTGATTGTACGCACATGGCCATGTAGGATCATTTCGAGAAAGAGAGCTGACTCTCTCCACTCTCAGCTGTACCAGGGCATTTGGGGGCCCACTGAGAATACTTTTAACTGTTAAATTAGGAACAAGGCCCTATTTAATTTAAGTCAGTCTAGATATTTAAAATATATAAATTCAGTGCATAAAAGATGGAGGTTTGCAAGGAATTGAATTTGATTATTCATATTCAGAAAGATTATTTCTTGTTGATGAAATTGAGAAGCGAATCGGATTAGTATCAAAGATCATGAAGATCTAGGAAAGTGATTGCACATTTCTGTTTGAAGAACCCTACACTCACCATAAATAAAATTTTGCCGTCGGATATTAAATTCATTACCACTCCAGATAGCATGGATCGGGAATACTGTTACAATAGACAAAGCCGATCACCAAATTAAGTTAAGAACTATTGAGGCAGAATTGGTTATCGGATAGCTGTCATTTTTTAATTGAATTTTGACAAGTTATGAAAAAATATACTCCATATAAATGATTCGTTGTTGAAGATATTAGTCAAATAAATTCAATAATTTAACTTACTGCACAAATGACATGTTTACGATGTCCAACTAAATCTAAACTTGGTGACCAATTCGTTCGATCAATAAGTTTAGCAGTAGGAAAGCCATTATTTATAGCATGCGGTGAAGCAAGAGTTGAACCATCCAAACTCCACGATAAACGCATAACTTGACTTTGTCCACTAGCCTAAAATGCAGCAATTTTAAACAACTGAGGTAATAACAACAATACATGTTTAAACAATCATTTGACAAATGATTATATGGATTTTAACTTACTATGAAGAATAATATTAAGGGTAAAGTATCGAGTAAAACATAGAATGTTATTATTATTAAAGGAAACATCATCTAATTTGAATGTGTAAATGTACCATCTTAATAAGTGCTAAAAAGTATGAACCACTTATTTAGGGCTCGGCTAGAAACTGATCTTGGATAGTAAAACATCAACAACAACAAAAATAACACAATTTTAATACAGAAACAAACAAATTGTCTTACTACATGTAATATGTGTTCGCCTACAGCATAATGATAGATTAAGATTTAGACAATATTTGTCAATGAAAGAGGAGCCGATTGCGTTTAGATGGTGAAATGAATGTTATTGGCCAATAGAGTTTACGATTTATCTTGCAGCAAGCCATAACACAGTTACTATTTCTGCTCTCAATCAAAAGAAGTATTCTCAATGCCCAGCAATACTTTTCATGTTGTGAGCTCTCCAGAATCTTCCAAAAACGTTTTCCGAAGCCACAAGAAGACTAAAAACGTAAAGCCTAATCACCATCTAATGTGAACTTCTAGAAAACCGACCGGATATGCAGCACACTGAATATTTGTCTGTTTTGTTACTAAATTTAGCATCCTTCCAGGATGTTAAAGTTATCCGTACATAACCTTGTTCTCTGTATATAAACAAAACTTGAATTAAAGCTTCTGTTCTCATTTAGAATGTCCTCGCTATTTTCCGTAGCTCAACTTTAGGAAAACTCTGAAGAACGAATAAGCGGATAAGAATTCATAATCAGGTGTTCGAGTACCAGATATTAATAAGTGTAGCTTATAAAATTAACGTATCATTAACATTACCTTTGTAAATGGTTTACTGATGCTAGCTTCTTCCTGCCAGTCTGCAGTACGCCATATTTTCACAGTTAAATCATCTCCTTGACTAGCTAAATAACGACCAACTGGATCCCAAGTAACACCTTTTACAAAACCTTTATGACCACTTAAAGTTGCTTGTAAATAGAAAGAATTGCTTGTATAACCTGAACCATTAGGAAGTTTTTGACGACACCAAACAATTACAGAATTGGCAAGTGTTCGTACGTTAAAAGCTCCTACGTGTAGTTTAGAGCGTGGTTTCAGGAGCCCAGGAATGGCGTTCCACGTACTCGAATCGTTTGCCCTAGCGGTGCGAGGTGATAAAGAGACGTGAGGAGGGTTAGTCGGGAGGATAAGAGAGGTATTAGGAGGTGTAGGAAGGATTTGAATGTGACCACCTTGGTCTCTTGTGCTGTTACGGGTATGAGGGCTGATGTCACTTCCCGGCTGCCCACACCGTGGAAGGGTATTTCTTGATGAACCTGAAAAGGAAATTGGATTAGTGTTGGTCTTGACGACCTGGGAGCGTGACCGCAGAGCCCAAGGGACAACTGCTTGAGGCCGGTCGCGCACGGCCTTTTTGTGGAAGGTTTTTGACGTGTTAGCTCCGTTCTTCAAGGGCCTTACCGCCGGAGACGGAAATCCGTGAGGTAAGGTGAGGTGTGCATTTTTAGGGTCGACCTTTTCTAACCCCACCCCTCCTTGTGGGAAGGCAGCATCGCTGTCATGCTGGTTGTCCGAGGGAAACACCTTACTGCTGTCACACCTCTCTACAGTCAGCAGTACGACTTCGCCCTCAGACCTTGAGTTGCTGCTTTTAGTCTTACCGTTCGCCAATCGACCTGCCTGGCATGGTAGAACCTGCAGGAACATATGTTCCAGCCAATATAGCTCGGTTGGGTCATCACGATAGGCAAGCCCGACCACCGCGTCAAGGTAGCAGCTTCGATCGGGTCATTCATTGTTTATTCAGTTTGATATTTGATAGAAAGGGATATATCAATAGTATCTTGCTTTTATACTGTTCTACTTGTGATCTATTATATAATGAATCAGTTATTGTGTATATCATTTACTGTTCATAAAGTAGAGTAAATTAATCATAAACCTATTACCTAGTTTAGTACTACAAACAACATGTAATTATTGAGATTTCTTATTTATAGTGATCAATGGTCTTCTATTTTAACCATATAGTCATTTAGGTTAAGTTTAAATCCCGCGGGGTGCGGGATCGTGGATGCGCACTGCTGAGGAGTCCCATACTAGGACGAAACGGCCGTCCAGTGCTTCCAGGTTTCCAACAGTGGTCTAACATCAATTAATTCATGATCTCAACCAAAAACTTAACAATCTCCACAACCCCCCATACTGATAATCATAAGAGATAGATGACTAGTCTTCCTGGTAGATTGGGAACAAGTCAGAATTGTACGTGGTGTATTAATCGTTAGCGTATACATGATACTATTGTAATGAACGAGGACAATCAAATACACTTGAACACAAAATTACAGAACATCTTAGTAAAATGTGAGAACCGTAATATAAATACTTAATTTGCAAAATGTCAATCAATTGTCTCAAACTTGACTGTTCCTTTAGTAAATATCAATCAATCGTCTCACACTTTAATGTTCTCTTGTTTCCACATCAATCATTCCTTGTTCTCGTTCTGTTTCTTCGATGTTCTTAACCTTCTGCCTCCAGGCATTTCACTTTCGATTAGCGATACATGCTATTTATATCTACCGACATCAGTAGTACACCACAATATTAGTACCAAACTGTACAAATCGAGACAGTTAAAGAATGACTTAAATTTGTGACATAATAATTGTAAGTTGAGTGATCCGACGACTAAGCCATTCCGGTTCATAAAAGTAAAACAGGAATTGGTAATAACGAAGAGAATAAATAGACAGTCTATCAATTCATTCTGATAATGATGTTATAAATATTGCTCCTTTAAAAGTTATTTCATCTGACTCAGAAGAAAAATCCCTAATCACCGAGAATAATATGAGTGATGTAAGATGATTAAATAATGATATATACTTTAATTTAATAAAAATCTCAGATGATTGGACTCTAAATGGAAATGCTGAATGTAGTAGTATTGTGATGTGAGCTACTTATATCCGCATAAGTAGTATATAAGATCGAGAGGGAAAGGACGGGAACGAAGAGTAATTGCTATGAAAATGCATGAACAATCAAATCTGACACGATGGACTGATATTCGCAAAAGGAACAGTCAAGTTTGGGACAATTGATTTATTTATTGCAAATTAACTATTTACTGTATGGTTGTCAGATTTTAGTGAGACGTTCTGTACACTTTTTAATCCGGGTTTTCATTCTTTCTTTAGGTACTATATTTTATAAATTGGGTTTTTACTACCATAGTTTTTACTTCTCCGTTGTTCATTTTATTTCCAACAGTTCAAATGAGAATTATGATAAGGTGACCTAATACATTGTGTGACATTCTATTTACTTATGATTAATATACAAATTAAGTCATATACCAGATACAAATTTGTACACTTAGTTACAGGTCACATAAAATGTGAAGATTAGTGATGCCACTCAATTTTCTAGATCGAAATAGGTGAAATGATGGTCGTACCTCCTACAAATTGGGTAAAAGTCAAAGGTTTCAATCACTGAGCCATTGCTTCACACTGATTAGATTAAACCTATTATAAGATGACAAACTAAGAGATTAATTACTTTTAAATCTTTCTGGCAAAAACAAATCAGAATTTCGCCTCAATAAAATAGCGAATAGCAACATGATCATTACAATTAAGGATGGGGAAAACCAAAACATCTCAAAAAGAAGGTGATAATTTTTATTAAGATCCAAATCGGTAACTGATGTTTTACTAGCCAAGCGTTTTTTTTAGAACCATCACATTGAATATTTGGTTCAGAATGACAGAGATAATATGAGAAGTTGATAGTTAGTGCTTGAATTTGGTATGATATATTCAATAATTATCCTTTCCAGGATTTTAATATCAGCCCCCCCCCCGATTAGCTGTGCTACATTACGCGACGGTGAAATATGGCATTTAAATATAGTGAATACTAATAGACGATGTTTAACCAAATAAAGGCATATTCGATAAACTACAAGCGTGTAACTTAGTACTTAAATGGAGACAGGAATGATCAAACACAATGTGTCAGTCAGAAATATCACAAGCAACTATCATCTGAGGTTGTCGTAGGTGAAATACTTTGATGCATTTATGATATTATTTGTCAATATAATAGCGGTTTCAAGTCCAGTTAATAACATAGATAATCTAAAAGCTGAAAGTCAAGTATTTAGGTCAACTAATCAATCTTTTTTGAGATGAAATTAGTCGAAATTATCTTAAGATAAACAACTCACCACCACTGTGACCTCGAAGGGTTGATACGCAACGCCAATGTTCCGTAAACTTGGTAGGCTCTTTTGAACCGAATACCTGAACTGGACGAGATGTACCTCTGTAAACGAAATAATATTACCATGGTTAGATTTTACAAGAGCTCTCTACAACATGATCCGTGTATAAAAGGATATAACATTACAGCTGAGGAGACAGTGAACAAAATCAATCATGTGAAAACGGGAACAGTGCATATTACAGGTTCAGCGTAATGTATCGAAAAATAATTTCTGACAATAAAGTAATGAATTAATTTACTAATAGAGCAATAAAAAAATATTTTATTATCAGCGCCATCATCATGAAGAATTAAATAAGATCATTTAAATTCATTTTTGTATTGTTTATTTGAATCTTTTTATTGATACTTAGGACCGTCATTGGTCAGTCTCTTATTGGAATATTTGCCCTACAGAATCTCTATAGACTGAAAATGAACAAGAAACTACAATTCAAATGCATACATAGAAGTATAATAGAGTGAAGTTGAAGAACTACATTATGACTTACGCTGTTTTCGACCATAACATAATAACTTTGTCCATTCCAGCAGACGCTAACCAACGACCAGATGGTGACCAACGAACACAGTTGACACAAGCTGGCCGAGAGAAAAAAAATTGTTGTTGTAAAATGCAGAGAAGTATATTAGCCTAAAGTGTTTCAGTTGTGAATTTGCCGTTTATTGACGGTTATATTCAACATGGAAACATGTATCGTCCCCAGTTACTGTACAATATTACAAAAGCGAGATAAAATTAACAAGGTGGATAACAAATCAGGTGAAGTAACAGAAGTGTCTCTGGTTGCGAAAAAGATTAAACACAAAGAATATGGTTTTGAAAATACAGGATAAATCCATAAAATGAAGTGATATTGATCATCACGATTTGGGGAATTCAAGAATGAGTATAACTACACAGGTGTGACCAGTTCTGAGCAATGTCTCTAACCACTGATTACAGTTATCTGGCGGAAGGAAAACAAGTAGTTAAATCATTCAGTAGATTACTATAGAAATATTAATATAGTCAACAAGTAAACCACAGTTATGGGTTACCTTACTCGCTTTAGCAAGTTTAGATAGCAGTTTTATTTATTTAACCATAAACATTGACACAAGAAGGCACCATATATATACACACCACACTTAATTATTCGATTTGTGTGAGAGCTCGGATACTGTCCGGACGCCCGAAACGAAACAGGTGGTTTCTTAGGGGCAGTACCCGGGGCCTCTGACCTAAAGGTCTAATCCACCAGGCAGTGGAGCAACGTCAAGAAGTGTAGTGAATATTTTATATTTATTTACTTAAACACATAAATATTGGTACAAGAGTGCGCCAAATATAAGTGCGCTACACTATACAATGAGAATTTAAGGGGAAGGAAAGAGAAAAAGGTAAGGAGCGTAAAAAAAGAACAAAAACGAAGAGATTGGTGTAAGATAGTGTAATAATAATAATGGTAATAACGGGGGAACGGAAAGGTACAATCAGAAGAAATCTTTCAGTTAAGGAAGATGCAACCACTTTTTACGAAGAAAGTAAAAGGTTACAGCAGGATATAGGATATAGAATAGGACTTCCCTGGAAGTGGCCGTATACGTGCGGCCGTTTGAAAGCATTTCGAGAGGAGGAGCTGACTCTCCACACCCTTGGCCGTACTAAGGCATTTAGCTGCTTTAAAAAGGGTTCACGTTACACATTTAACAGCTATCTGGGGATAAGTCTACTTCCAAATGCATCCAAACTATTAACTCCTGTCAAACTTCGTAAATTGTTCGAAACCCGAGAAAGATTGAATCGCGAGAAGCAGACTAGTTTTTATTCTGGTCGAGGATGTATTGATTATATTATCCCCCTCCGCCAAACGTTAGAACATCGTTATAATTATCACAGGCCAACAATTTAGCTAGTGTCAGTTCGTGATGAAAAACCTAAATATAATTTTTAACCCAAACCATCAACTTTAAATCATAAGCTTAATTCCTCATACTGGTTTATAACCTGCATTCAGTCCTAGCGAGTAAACGAACGTTCTTAAGGCCACTCCGACGCCGCTCAAAAGTCGTCCATAAATTATAGTCTTGCCGGAATATATCTCAATCCAAGATGCTGGGAAGAAGCACTAAATATATTCATTGGTACACGGAGGAAACAAATATGTATGCGCCACGCTCTAACATTCGATTTGCGCGAGGGCTGGAATACTACTTGGGTGTCCAAACTGAAGCAGGAGAAACTTATTGCCGTTACACATTCGAGGAAAAGTTTACCCTTAGGAAGAAGCTAGTTGACAATGAACGAACAAAATACTAAGAATTATTTCAACTTAATTATAGTAATAAAGGTATCTTAGTTATAGACTCACCTTGATGACTGTCCATCTGAAAAAGCTTAAGACAAGAGTTATCACTTGACTCTAAAGTTGGATCTCGAATAGGAGCCATATTCCACAAAACAACAACTCCACATGTGTCGATTACCCCACCAGTGGCTAAACGTGAACCATCAGGATGTATATCTAAACTATATATAGGTCGACCTGAAGCGGACATACGAAACTGATGAAAACTTACCAACAGCTTTGTCCTTTGACAGAAATCCATGAGACACCCAGGTCGGTTTAAGCAACCTCATGAAGAAACTGAGATTGGTGTAAAAAAGATAAATTAACTTATATGATAAGCAATATATCAATCTGAAAGAGACCTACCAAATATACTAAAAGCACTAAACACCTGTTTTATTTAAGAAAACTTGAAAACAACTTAGAATGTTCCTTTTACTTCTTTTTGATGAGGTCAGCTGATGTAATGATGACCAACATTCTTGATTTTTTAAGAATGCATGATGTGGGATGAGTTTACTCCTGGTATCAACTATGACACTTAATTAAAACATGAATTGCTCGTGATATTTTCAGTCTAAAAAATATTCAAGTTCAGCTATGCGTAAGAATGTAATGTGACTAACACTGATGTCCATAAATGAAATATTGTTTGGAGCAACAATAAAAGTTACTGGTCATTATAGTTAACTGCAATAGCTGAGATCTGTGTATGTTTAACACTTCAGAGCCACACAAACTGATGACCTTACCAATCAACAGTCTAGTTATGTCACTGCTTGTACGTAACCCTGGCACTATTTACTGTATTTTAGAAAGGCTTTGATTACACCGAGATTCAGAACTTCAATGGATTGTGTATAAAATTTAAGTTAACAAAAAGTATCTAGCCAAACCAATGAGGAATGACAAAACTTAAGCCCATGGATTATACATCAAAATAGGATTCGAATTTACAGTCATGAATTAGAAATGACTGTCAAAGTTAGGCTATTCCTTAGTAACATTATTTGGAATGATAGGATCTCAATATTTATGACCTAATACTATTTCCTAGCGTTGAAAGTCTTTTATTTAGCCAAAAAAGAATAAATTTTTTCATCGAAGGTAGGATCTGGAATTATAGAGCTGAAGATTTTCGTACCACCATGAGATATTTTTATTACCAGCAATGCAATCAGAAATGGGATAAGTTAACTGTAGTTGGTTAAAATTGAACTTGATGAGATCTGTACATAAGTACGTACTCAAACATACACAAGACACATTCGGTATTTTTAGTTATGTTTTAAGCGCAACAAAGACTACTTAAGTAGATTGTAAAGGGGAAATATGTAGGTATCATGATTTCAGACAAGTACTGATCCATTAAAATTCTACACAAAAAATGTGTGATAACTTATACCACTTCCAGATTGAAAAGGCTTTGACTAATCATACATGTGGAAAACCCAGTAATAACGTGAGATTCCAAGTAATTGCGAAGGTCTACGTCAACCAATAAATAACAACAATGAGGATCGCTTGTAAACTATCAAAGCAACCTGAACTAACTTATGAGTTTTGCTCAACATTACTGGAAACATTGCACATGACGGAAGGCCGAAGGGACAAAGTCATATGAATAGAGCATAGACCAGACTTACCTAGAGAACCATTTACTATCAAAGACAATTTAGAAAATACAACACGCTAATGTACTAAGAGATAGACGTTTTTGAAATAAAAAGCCACCATTATGACCTAAATACTCTACAGACACTGCACGTTAAGTAGGTATTAAAATTATTGTCACACTAACGGGAAGTTTAGTCCTAACGTGATTTGCATATATCAAACTTTTGCTGTGTTCTTACGCAACAAAAGTACCATTTCAGTTCTAAAAAATCTATCCTGAGCTATACGTTCGGTAGATTACTTTTTTTTTGAGTTTCACTATATTTAATAGTTACCTGTGGTTTTGCCTCAGCTTACTATTCGGTTTTTTTTTGTTTTTCACGTACAGACTAGTTTCAGTTTACATCACTCGTTTTGTCCGTTTTTGTCCGTTTTCAGTGTGCATTTTAGTGTTTTTTTTAAAAAGGTCTTAAGCTTTTGCAAGCATCTATAACATAGTTTGCTTCAACACCGTCATGAAAAACTCATGCAAACGTCCGGGATGCCGTTTTGCTGTCACAACTGGCATGCAGTGTGACAACTGCAAAGGTTGGTTTCACGAAGCATGCACAAATCTGACAGCAACTGCTTACAACAAACTCAGCAAGTCAGACCAAAAGTGGGTATGTGTCACGTGCAACACGGACGCAGTAGTCTTGCTGAGTAACATCATTGTCCTACTGACAGGTCTTCGAAACAAGCTGTCAGTTAACTTGGAACACGACAGTAAAAAAACCGATATGCAAACAAGAGCGCGCAACGGACTCAAAAATAGGGATGTCGATAGGTATGTCATCGATGGAGCATCCATCAACACTAACGACGACGTGTCGAGGCTCAGTACCATCATTACGTCGACGGTACTAGACTCCCTAGGCAAACTCGGGTCTCCCAGCTCAGGGTCGCTGAACACAACAGTGGTTCCCAAAAACCCTGCAGGTGATTCGACCCACGTTAAGAGAGCCCAAAAGAACCAGGCATCACCGCCTAAGCCGAGCAACCCAAGTGTTGCTGCACGGAAAATAACTGGTGATTTAGTCGCACAGTCTACCCCCAAGACTGTTCGTCCGGTCAATAAAGAGCCCAAGATTCATAAACGCACACTGACCTCCAAAAAACAAGTTATTAAACCTGAACCCATCGTGAAACCTGGTAAATTAACAACAGTTCGTGACGATTCTCTCATTATCATGAACCTCGTCGACAATCCTGACCTTCCTCTCAGTCTGCAGGATAAAAACGACAGGATGCTGTGGGGTGAATTGAACAAAAAGCTCGAACTTCCTAGAATAGAGCCTTTGACGGTCACCCGGCTCACTCGAGGAAAGGATTCTAAGCATCTAAATCACCCGAGGCTTCTCCGAGTAACACTTAAGAATGCTACCGACGTAGAGGACGTCTTGCTAGCAAGTCACTTACTGAAATCAGATGGTAACGTAAGAATATTGCCCGACATACCGTACTCTGAGCGCAATATCTTACGAAACGTCCCTAAAGAATCTCGCGAGAAGTTCTTCCGCGGAAGAAACATAATTGTCCAAGGTATACCGGAAAATGCAGACCCTACTCAATCAAATTCTGACATCAGGGAATGGAAATTCATCAAACAGTCCTTGAGGCTCAAACACATACTGACTCAGCATGTGACGAGACTAGCCAAGAAGGACGGTGATCTTAGACCCCGTCTAATGAAGATAACCTTCCCATCTTCCCACATGGCGGCTGCAGTTCTGGAAGCATTTCGTGCTAATAGACGTCGATTGCCACCTGGAATCCACATGCACCCGGATAGGCCATACGAAGTCAGGACCAAGAACAAAGGCAAGCTGGAGCTGACCATTCCACTTGTGGACTGTCTAAACGATAAAAAAAACGTGTAAAGGACAGGGCCTACCACCTCGGCAAACCTCATATAGGTGGGCTACCTGTCCATTCACATAAGGTTCATACAGAAAAACAGGACGAAGCTCATGCGTTCCAAATTGAAAGCATAAACTGCTTATATACGAACGCCGCGAGTTTACCAAACAAACTGGATGAACTACGTGAACTTAGCAACGCTAGCAAGGCCCATCTGATAGGAATATCTGAAACCTGGATATCTTCTCAGTTCTCGGATCAAGAGTTAGCATTGCCTGGGATGACTTTGTTCCGCAACGACAGAAAAATAGGAATTGGGGGCGGAGTAGCCATATACATTAGCTCTTGCCTGGAGGTGCACCAGGTTCACAACCTCGAGTTTAACAATCTTGAGGAATCCATATGGTGCTCTGTAAGGTTGTCTAGTACTTCCAGGTGTCTAGTCGGAGTCATTTACAGGAAGCCAACTGCCGACACCGAGTACGATAGTCGTATGCTGGAAGGACTATCCCGCTCTATCCGTCTCGGTTTCACACACATCCTGATTCTAGGGGACTTTAATCTCCCTAGAGTCAACTTCGCGGAACACACGTACACTGGAGGCGACAACTCAACTGAAGCTCGGTTCTTCAACCTCATCGATAACTTGGGCTTATATGAAAATGTGAGGTCGGCAACTCGTTGGAGAAACAGTCAGACACCATCGCGCTTAGACTGTGTATTCACTAACGAAGAATTCCTAGTCGACAACCTCTCAATCCAGGCTCCTCTGGGAAAAAGCGATCATGCCGTCATAGCCTTCAGTTTTGTCATCAAAACTAAGCTAAGGTATCCCAACAATAATTTGCGATGGAATTTTAAACGGCTGAATGTGCGAGCTCTACATGACCATCTACAACAGGTGGCTTGGGATGTTCACCCTCAAATCGATGTGGATGGTCATTGGGACTTCTTGCTGCACACGCTCTTACGTGCTACAGACCATTCAGTTCCTCAAACGGTTCCCAAAAGCTTCAAGCCACCTACAGTAATCAAGAACCGTACCCTTCGCCTGCTAAGCCGCAAAAGGCACTGTTGGGCGGAATACAAACGAACTAATAACGATGGAGCGTATAGGCAATACAAACATATCAGGAACACATGCACGAAGGCTATAAGAGAAGACAGGCTTCAGTACCAAACAAAGCTTATGGACAAATTCGCCTCTAACCCTAGAAGCCTATTCCGTTATGCAGCCTCTCTTCGTCAAGCCAAAACAGGAGTTTCTCAACTGCTAGGACCTAACGGCCCGACCAACAACGATGGCGACGCCGCCAACCTTCTGGCGGCCCATTACTCTCAAACATTTCAACCGGCTGATATCAACTTTATCGACGACAGTTTCATCTGCAATTCCACAGGACTTTCTGAAGTGGACCTAAGCGCTGACTTGGTGCTCCGGAAACTGCAGCACTTAAGACTTGACACTTCTCCTGGCCCGGATATGGTTCATCCTGCCATACTGAGGGAGGCAGCCTCAATCCTGGCAACGCCGCTTAGCGTGATGTTTTCACACTCGCTTAGCCGAGGCAAACTACCGGAAAATTGGAAGTTGGCTCACATCACACCAATTTTCAAAGGTGGTCGACGCAATGAACCTTCAAGTTACCGGCCGGTAGCTCTTCTGTCGTTACCTTCAAAACTCATGGAGTCCCTGATATGCGACGGTCTAAATGACTACCTACTGTCCTTAAATTTCTTCTC